ACCCGCAAACCTGGGGATTGAAGGATTTGACAGGCATATTACATGATATAACATGATTTAAATATATAACATAATATAACATGCTATAACTATAATCACAGTGTTCCTTTGGATTTCATGGAGATATGTTATGGGAATATCATGGGCAAAAAATGGGATATCGGATATGGCATGGTCTATTTTTCAGCAACTACACCCAACTATTTATGGCATGTGGGTGTGTCTGAAAATGCGAGCCTCAATTGTAACATCCATCAAGTTTGGGAGGGCGACAGGGGTATTGAATTATGAGAAATCAGCTACCCTCTGGTAAACTAACATAACTATGAAAAATCACCATTTTTAATAGCTATGTTAGTTTACCAGAGGGTAGTAAGTCGGTATGTTGATTTTGTTTCGTTTCGGGCGGTTTGGTTTCCATCGGCAGGCTCGATTTTCCATGGCCAGATGCCAGATAGATTAGATGGCCCCAGAGGGTATACAAGATGATCAAAAGCACCTTTTAATAGATCAAGTACCCTCTGGTTATTTAACATAGCCATGGAAAATCACCATGCTATTAATAGGTAAACCATCTATTTCTATGGGCCATCTATACCATGGCTATGTTAAATAACCACATGGGAATGCAATTACAATCAATTACATATTCACGAAATTAATGATGATTGGGCCACATCCCTTAAATGGCGGATAGTAAATGGATCTATTTTTGTTCGATCACCTGAATAGATGGGAGTCCACGCAGTCCACGTCCCGGATTTCCGTGCGTTCACAGCGACTGTTGAAGAATGTGGCTGTTTGTCTAGTGCAGCCATCCCAGACATACTAATGCTGACTGTCAAGAGAAAATCACTAGAGACAGATGCTTGATAAGGGTAGCTATCCCAAAATGATACTATTTCAGCTTGGTGAATGATCATAATTCAGCCAACTGCTTGGATACATATATATATAATGATTATTATATGGTGTTCTGTCTTCTCGCAAGATTGTCTTCAATTAAGTTGGTGAATGACATGGTGATTAAACCTGCACAGTTGCTACTTTATCCAAAATTTTTCGTTTGGGTCATTCATTGACTCAAAAGATTTTTTTTGCTCCAACATATATATATATATATATATGTGTGTGTATATATGTGTATATATGTGTATATATGTGTATATATGTGTATATATGTGTATATATGTGTATATATGTGTATATATGTGTATATATGTGTATATATGTGCATATATGTGTATATATGTGTATATATGTGTATATATGTGTAAATATGTGTATATATGTGTATATATGTGTATATATGTGTATATATGTGTATATATGTGTATATATGTGTATATATGTGTATATATGTGTATATATGTGTATATATGTGTATATATGTGTATATATGTGTATATATATATGTGTATATATGTGTATATATGTGTATATATGTGTATATATGTGTATATATATATGTGTATATATGTGTATACTACATAGTTGCTAATGTTTTCAGAATAGTTATCCGCTGTAGGACTGCGTGCAGGCTTGCATTCTCCAACGGTACCACTCGGTACCCAGTACCAGTCCTGGGATGATCCGATCGAAAAGCTCCATGAATTGGGAAAGTCATACGGCAAGAAACTGCGGCATTTTTAACGCGGCATTTTTAACGCGGCTACACATATCACATATCACATATGTAATATCATGTAAAATCATGTAAAATCATGTAATATATATAGTTTTCGAAGATGTGAATTGAATCAATTGAAGCCCATGAAATGTGTTGGGCTCATATGGGAGCCGTCCGTAAAAGCAGGTCACAAATTTATGAATTGATGCGTTTACTTTGCTTTGCGCGATTGCTAAAACCTGCATCGCGATAGGCTGAGCGATTGGTTGGCGATTGGTTATACGGCTACCACCGTATTACTACTACTACTACTACTACTACTACTACTACTAGTACTACTACTACTACTACTAGTACTACTACTACTACTACTACTACTAGTACTACTACTACTACTACTAGTACTACTACTACTACTACTACTACTACTACTACTACTACTAGTACCAGTACTACTACTACTACTACTACTACTACTTTTACTACTAGTACTGCCTCTAGTACTGCCACTAGTACTGCCACTACTACTACTACAACAACAACAACTACTACTACTACTACGACGACTACGACGACTACGACGACTACTACGACTACTACGACTACTACGACTACTACTACTACTACTACTACTACTACTACTAGTACTAGTACTAGTACTAGTACGACTACGACTACTACTACTACTACTACTACTAGTACTACTACTAGTACTAGTACTACTACTACTACTACTACTATTACTACTACTACTCCTACTACTACTACTACTACTCCTACTACTACTACTACTACTACTACTACTACTTTCGAGACCAGAACCATGCCAATAATTGACATGGCCGCGCGGATTCCGCGCGCGCGGAATCCGCGCGCGCGGAATCCGCGCAGATGTTTTCAGGTCAGAAGGACATTCAAGCTAGCTCCAATTGAAAACAGGTCAGAAAACAGGTCAGAAACAGGTCAGAAACAAAAAAGGCAGCACTTGCCTAGCATCCCATCCATCCATCCATCCATCCACCTCAGCTCTTATCATTGCTACTAATACTACTACTACTACTACTACTCCTGCTACTACTACTACTGCTACTACTACTGCTACTACTGCTACTACTACTACTACTCTCTACTACTACTACTCCTACTCCTACCTACCTACTCTACTCTACTCCTACTCCTACTCCAAACGCAACCTCTCTCTCTCTCTCCCTTGCCTATTCCCTCACCCTCCTACCAGACCTCCTACGCCTACTCCTATTCCAATTTCCACTACCACTACTGCTAGTGCTACTGCTACTGCTAGTGCACTGTGAGTTTTCCGGACCGTTTCCGGACCGCACAAGCTTATTTTGCTCCCAAATTTGAAATCGAATGCGTTCACGCATGGATCCTGAAATCGAATTTGCGTTCACGCATGGATCCTTACTCTCATTACTAGATTTGCTACTACCCCCAGCACTACCACCACACCCGCTGCTACTGCACCACCCTGCACCACCACTACCACCACTACCACTAGTACACCTAGGAATTTCTGCTCTTGCTTTTAAATCCAATTGCACTCGTGTGAAGGGTCAGAAACGAGTCAGAAACCAGTCAGAAACCAGTCAGAAACCCGTCAGAAACCGGCCAAACGCAATCTCTCTCTCTCTCTCCCTTGCCTATTCCCTCACCCTCCCATCAGAACTCCTACGCCTACTCCTATTGCAATTTCCACTACCACTACTGCTAGTGCTACTGCTACTGCTAGTCCTGCTGGTACTACTGTGAGTTTTCCGGACCGTTTCCGGACCGCGCAAGCTTATTTTGCTTCCAAATTTGAAATCGAATGCGTTCACGCATGGATCCTTACTCCCACTACTAGATTTGCTACTACTCTTAGTACTACCACCACACCCGCTGCTACTGCACCACCACTACCACTAGTACACCTAGGAATTTCTGCTCTTGCTTTTAAATCCAATTGACACGAGTTCCGCTGAAGGGTCAGAAACGAGTCAGAAACCAGTCAGAAACCAGTCAGAAACCCGTCAGAAACCGGTCAAACGCAACCATCTGTTTCCCCCTCCCTCCCTCTCTCTCTCTCTCTTTCTCTCTTTCCCTCCCTCTCCCTTTCTTCCCTTGCCCTGCTACTAGAACTCCTTCTCCTATTCCTACTCCTACTCCTACTCTTACCCCTCCTACTACTACTACTACTACTACTACTACGACTACGACTAGACTACTACTACTACTACTACTACTAGTACTACTAGTACTACTAGTACTACTGCTGCTGGTACTACTGTGAGTTTTCCGGACCGTTTCCGGACCGCGCGAGCTTATTTTGTTCCCAAATTTGAAATCGAATGCGTTCACGCATGGATCCTCATTATATAATACATAACTTATATTTTATGTATATGATCTGATCAACGAAGAACAAACCCTTCCGCGATTGCTCACTGTGGTACCGCGGTTGCTACGCGATTGGCTGAGCGATTGAGGGCTGTCCGGGAAAAGGTATTTTGGACAACCCCCATATGTTCAAATATGCGTTAGCTTCCATCCTTGGGATCATTTTGGACCAAACTAGCTATTTACGTCAAGAACATGTCAAAAGTTCTTTAGCTTCACATTGAAAACCACAAAGAAATATGAACATGTTCATATCACCAAGTTCTCCATGAGTTCTCCCTCATCCCCATCCTGTCCATGTCCGTCATACCGAGGCATCACCACCTCTTCACGGATCTGGTGAGTGATCTACGGACGCAACTGGAGGAACACCTCGAGGATCAATCCAACCGAAGCCCCTCAGCGAGGGCGGAGTTGGGGATGAAGATCGGTGGATGTTTACACTGGTTAAAACCAAATTAAACACTTATGAGGCTAAAAATATGAGGATAAAAAACATGTTGTTTTTCTATTTACAGTATTTTCCGATATAGGATTGTCGTTCGTTTTTCTCTTACCACGATTTGCCATGGAGATTTGATACATCGTAGGCACTAAAGATGGGAATATATATATATATATATGTATATATGTAGATGAAAAAGGATTGAAAAAGCAAAAAATACAGTTGGCAACTTCTTGAGGAGTGGAGACAATGAATTGAGTGAGGAAGAGTAACTAATGGGGATCTAGTCCCTTTTGTTTAATTTAGGGATGGTCATCCAAAGTTGTTTGCAACCGCTGCAACATTCCGGATGATTTCTCTTGATGGTGACTTGATGTCCTTGCTCCAAGATTTAAATGTTGAAATTGAGGGCCAGCGCATCATGCATCTAGATGGCGAGCTTGGCTGGGTAAATCATCATATGTTCGATTTTGCATTACAGGACAAGAATCACCATTTTATGATATTTTACGTGTATTCCCCAACATGTCAATGTGACATGGGTATTATCCAACATTTATTGGTCAGCTATCAGCTATCATAAAATGTTGTATCCCCCATGTTCAGACAACCCCGTAGATTGAAATGTGCCCACGAGGTGTGAAGTTTCTGCTCTTTTGCATCTCGGCCACCGCGAAAGCCATGGTGATTTTCCATAGTTATGGGCTATCTTAGTTTACCAGAGAGCATCCCAAACTGAAGACCTGGGATTTGACGGAGTTCCAACCTCATGTAAACTCAACAACAAAGCACATACCGGTTTAACATGATTTGATACTTTGGATAGTATCGCAAGTCATAGCCAATCATGATTGTGGTCAATTGGAGACTCATCATTTGGTGGGGACGGCTGTCCTTCCAGGAAAGCCACAACGATATTCCAAGAATCCAATCTCAGAGCCTCTGGTAAACTGACCGTTTGCCATGGAAAATTCCCAAGTTTGATAGGTATTTCTCAACTATAAATTTCTATAAATGGTCATTTTCAATAGCAAACCATAACAAATTACAACAGGGTAGTCATGCTGCATACGTCATCTACGCTGGGTTGACCCATATTGGATCATGTCGCTCAGTATTTCCTGTGGAGACGCGACAAAAGTCCCAGTCAACCGGTCGACATGGAGCGGTTTTTCATTCTGTCATCGACACGACATGGGGGGATCTGAAAATCTGATAGCTATAGCTATAGTTAATGTATCTACATATAGCTATAGCTATAGTCATTAACATACTATAACTCTGGTTTATGGTACTGTACTTATAGCTATAGCTATAGTTAATATGTTAATATGTTAATAGATTGTTAATGGTTGATGGGACCATCCTCTGGCGCCACAGTTTCGCAGTGTCCCATAGTTTCTGGGGCCAGAAATGTGGGTTTACCATAGGCTGGTTGCACTTGGGGGCAACCGTTGCCCATTTCTAGGGCCTCCTACGCCATAGGGGAATGGTTTATGGATGTTTATGGATGTTTATGGCATAGGGGGAATCCCACAAAAAAACAGTGACCGGATGTGAGTCGGTGTTCCGTTTGTGGTTCCAAATACGTCATCGATCAGATCGATCCGAGGCAAATCTGGGCGTCATCGATCCGTGGCTGCCGGAGGCTTGTTGCACTACATCCTCCTCAGTGAAGGATACAGCCACCTGGTTGGAAGATTTGAAACCAGGGCTTCAATAAATGGGTTTTATCCATGTCTTGGAAATTGGTTGGAGAAATATATATATATATGAGATGGGTTAAAAGACTATTGGACTCCCAAGAAGAATGGTTTCCGAAAGTTTAGTAACTTAGTACCCCAACCTTGACCATAGCGATATAATATATGATTCATCATATGATAATATATGTACATCTTTATACTATATATATATGCATTGAACTAAACATGCTTGCAGATTTATAGCTTTGTTCAGAGGTCCCAGATGAGACCCTGCCTCACGTTATCTGTTTTGAATGTTTTTGCATGGACTGGAAGGGTATCCTCTCAACTGGAGAAAAGAAGCACTGTGGCAGGTCTGGGTCGCAAAAAAGAAAAACATGGAGCTAATAAAGTGATTTGTAAGTAACTGAGTTATATACCAGGTTGAATCAGACATACAATAGATGTGTGACTGGGATAATGATACATCACTGAATCACTGACCTCAAAGTAGATGATGGTTATTCAGAGGATCATCCTATAACATAGGATGTATATATAGGTGTCTCTGACAGGCATCCCCGATGTGTAAAAGGCGTTTGTTCATGGAAAACATGAGAGTAAACTTACCATGGGATTTGGGGTCCCCTATTTCCAGACAGACCCAGATATGGTTTATTTTGTGAAAACTGACATATATACCCTCTGGTTATTTAACATAGCCATGGAAAATAGATGGCCCATAGAAATAGATGGTAAAAACCTATTAATAGCATGGTGATCTTCCATGGCTATATTAAATAACCAGATGGTATATATATATATATACATAATTTGCCCAGCTTGATAGCTTCATTGCTCATGATACAACGAGCTTCATGGCTCCTATAAAAAAAGCGCATCATTCAGGTGGAGGGGATGCCCAAGATATTTGCTGGAATTCCATCCCCCTAATATTGAACCTCCCTACATGTCATATATGTATATATAGATATAGATATATAAAGATAAGAGTTTCAATTGGTTGGTTTCCAGTTGGGGTATTCAATGTCGGGATGGGATTATGTTGGTAAGGTTCCAGTTTTTCTTGGTTGTAAGATGGATACCATTTAAGTATATTAACCACCGTCCTGCTCTTTGTGGAAAGATCCTGCGATTGTTGTGGTTCCCTTCACCGCTACGACCATGTTTTGGGGCACTTCCCATTTGTTGACGATAGTGAGGTACTGCCCAATTTTGGTTAATCATGCAATTGGGCCTCAATTTTCAATGGTACAGTATACTCCGGAGTTGTCTAATTGTTTGGTCGTTTTAAAATGTCATGAAATGTCATTAAGATAACTATCATTCAGTAAAATCATTCTCCAACTATCATCAACTATATCATTGTATTAACATTTCTGAATCAATCTACCTGGTTATCGACTTTATCACCAACTATAATTCACTACTACAACATCACTATTGATAAGATTTTTTCATATATGGATGTAGTATATCACTAGTATAATATATCATATCACTATTATATCACTAGTATATCATATCATATCATATTGATAATTATATCATATCATATCACTATTATATATCATATACTAATCACATCTAATCACTATTGTATATCATACTAGTATATCATATCATATTGATAGTAATACGTGGGGATCCCCTAGGGGGGTTCCCCCCCCATCCAAAAAACTATCGCAGCATTCATCCATTTTTCGATCCTAGGTTCCGCGGAGTTGCACCACGTGAGCCTCGGCGATGGTGCCTGGGCCTTAAATTTTGTCATGGCTATACCATTGCAATATGTGGTATATATAGGATGTATATAGGATGTAAAGGTGGGTATAATCATGGCTATATAATTTTGATATAATCCTTAATTAATGATTAATGATGGGTGTATATATAGTGGGTATGTATGAATGTATGTGCGTGTGCAATGTTTTTCGTAACGTGATGTGATGTGATGTAACGTGATGTGATGTAACGTGATGTGATGTAATGGAATGTATATATGGACGTAAATTTGGTGTGTATATATATATATAGTCATCCTAAAGTAAATGGATAGAATATGGAATTTTCAATCATATTCCCATCTCTGTGAGGATTCGGATTGACATACTCCAGGATGAATATAAATGTATATACATATAAATATATATATATATTGCCACCAACTTCTGAGATAGAATGGGTACCAACGATGTTATGGAACTATCTCAGATACATGATATTACGCAAACATGAATCAGTCGGACTATCAATGACAATGTCCATGAATATCAGTAGTTAGCATTCTTATTGAATTTTGATTGGGGATAGGCATTGGGATATAATGGAACTTATCTAACCAACAATTTTGGATCATGGATCTGAAATTGGTATTTGCCACCCAATTAACAGGGTTGCTCCAACTTGTAGTTCAATTATAGCCACACAGCCGGGAATGGATAGTGTTACCTGTTTACCAAATTCACCCTCCTTGTACCTGAGGTTTTGGAGAACGCCTACCCTCTGGTTATGTCAAAATAGCTATTGAAAATGGCCATAGAAATAGTGGATTTACCCATAAAAAATGGTGATTTCCAATAGTTATGTTAGTTTACCAGAGGGTAAATTTATGGTCAGTTTTTTTAAAAGTGGGAAACTAATGACAACCTATTGGAATTGGATGGAATTGGGTGATCCCTCATTGGATGAAGAAAGAAAAACATTTTGTTTCTAGTATCGGTCGGTGAATTCAGCAGTAAGATGGGGGTTTGACAAATCATAGGGGTTCCGAACATCACCATTTTTCTGAGATTTGGAACCCTGTATAGTTTGGTGATATAATCGAGATATCAACCAAAAATAATGGAGATTTGAACCATAAACGATGGATATGAAAGGTACATTATCTGCGGAAACCGTGGTTTACTACAGCTAATCCTTTGCAACTCCAATGGGCATATGGGAAAAAAAAACACAAAACACATGGTGTCTAAGGTGTAAGATTGGCCATGATCGATGGGTCAAAGCTTCCCAGATCCAACTCTACTAGCTGTTTTGGGGTTCGCCAGGGTGTACCAGGGTTTTGAACCATTCCCATGTTAGCATCTGGTAAACTAACATAACTATGGAAAATCAATGAACATCATATGTTCAATAGGTAATTCAACTATCAATTGCCATTTTCACTAGCTATGTTAGTTTACCAGAGGGTAGCCAAAAAAATGGGTTCATCATCAAGAAATGTGTATTGTTTGAGGATAGTTACGAGATGGTTCCAAATCTGGTTTCTAACAAAGGTATGAGTGGAAACAACAAACTGTAGATCTAAGATGCTATAAGATGTTAAGTAATTTGTTTGGGTATGGGTCAAGACCAACTGGCAATTTAGGTGTATTATTCCCAAGACTATTCAGGCAACATTTTGGGATTTGAACAGAAGAGTACTAGGGGCAACATTGGTTCATGGGAAACGAACAGAAAAATAAGCAGGGCACCGAAGAAGCACAGACACCTCTATTCTTGGGCGATGGTATAAGACCGACGATCTGTTTCGCATTTGAGGTCTTCTTCGTTTCATTTTGTGGGATGTATCTATGTGTCAAAATTTGTGGACCCACAAAGCCAGAGAGTTTGGCCGTTTTCAGCAATATGCATCAAAGGTTGAAGATATCTCACCTGCAGAAGAGGGAACCCCCCCTCCATTTATATGACGGGACACTATTTTAGAAGATATTCAATATTTTTTTAAAATAGAAGCAGGCCCAAGTCCATATGTAGCCGAGTCCGTTTCAAATAGAAGCAATTGGTAAAACAGACCGATTCACTAACAATTGCTTCTATTTGAACGGGAGTTGGTACTGGAGAGGCATTTTTCCTGTAAAATACCACGAAATTCCCCAAAAACATGTTTCCCTGCCGACCCCAACACCTTTTTTTCACCCCATGACCCCGGTCTGGGATCGATCCCCTACACATTGATCTAAGTATATATATATATACACCCGGGGACGCAAAGATAGAAGGTATTACCGGAAATATCGGAGCACCCGGCTTCTGTTTGAAATCAACCCTGCTGAACTCCCCGGCCCGTTTTAAATAGAACAAATTTGAAAACGCATGGTTTTTTACACATTTTGGTACATGAGTGCACAATTCTTGTCAATTTCCCAGAGAAATTATCATAGTTTATCAGCAAACCTCACAGAAATGCTGTGTTTTTGTATATTTTCGAGGGGCTTGTTCAAATAGAAGCAATCCCATATCCTATAGCTTCTATTTGATTGGACTGCTTTGAAGTGGAGACCTTAGAGAAACATCCAAACTGCAAAAAACTGTCTCGTGTGGGTCTCGTTTGTCTTTGCCCAAAATGGAAACACTGGTCGTGCTCAACCTGCCTTGCAATGCTGCACACTGCACAGTTTAGAGAGGGATCATACTCATTTGTGGTCAAACATTGAGTCATAAGTTCAACACAAGTTGAAAACGCATGTTTTTTCACATTTTGGCACAAAAGTGCACAATTCTTGTCAATTTCCCAGAGAAATTATCATAGTTTATCAGCAAAACTCACAAAAATGCTCTGTTTTTGTATGTTTTCGAGGGGCTCGTTCAAATAGAAGCAATCCCACATCCTATAGCTTCTATTTGATTGGACTGCTTTGAAGTGGAGACCTTAGAGAAACATCCAAACTGCAAAAAACTGTCTCGTTTGGGTCTCGTTTGTCTTTGCCCAAAATGGAAAACACTGGTCGTGCTCAACCTGCCTTGCAATGCTGCACACTGCACAGTTTAGAGAGGGATCATACTCATTTGTGGTCAAACATTGAGTCATAAGTTCAACACAAGTTGAAAACGCATGTTTTTTTCACATTTTGGCACAAAAGTGCACAATTCTTGTCAATTTCCCAGAGAAATTATCATAGTTTATCAGCAAAACTCACAAAAATGCTGTGTTTTTGTATGTTTTCGAGGGGCTTGTTCAAATAGAAGCAATTCTTAGCTTTGGACCTTGAAAAACCAATTGCTTCTATTTGAACGGGACTTGGGGGGTTTGCAACGTCCATTTCAAATAGAAGCAGGGCTCTCCGATAATTCCGGCAATTGCTTCTAAAATTGCGTCCCGGAATATAACGATGGCAGGAACTGCAAATCCTAAAGTTTCTTTGGTTGTATCATCGTCATTCCTTGTGAAACCATCCAGTTTGGATGCAGAACCGGATGGATTTTAATTGTTTTATTTTTTTAACAATGTTGGTTTATTTGGAGAATATTCTATACTAGTTGGTGGTTTGGAACTTTTTTTATTTTTCCGTATAGTGGGAATGTCATCATCCCGACTGACTAATTATACCGTAATTATACCATTGAACCATAGTTTTGTACCATAAATATCCATATTTGTACCATAAATATCCATATTTGTACCATAAATATTCCATAAATTCCATATTTGAACCATATTTTGTACCATAAATATCCATATTGGGAGAATATCCCCATGGTTCCCCAGTTGGATCAGCCGAGGTTGTGGCTGCGACCTGTGCTCAAAGCCATCGGCACAAAGGTGGTCGCCGATGGGATCAGCCAAACATGCGGTCCGATGTGGAATCACCAAGAAAAACTCGGATAGAAACAACAAGAATGGTAGTAAGTAGTATTTATATATGTATTTATATATGTATTTATATGTATGTATTTATATGTATGTATTTATATATGTATGTATTTATATATGTATGTATTTATATATGTATTTATATATGTATTTATATGTATTTATATGTATTTATATGTATTTATGGCTTGGCGCTTCCAAATCTTTGTTGAGGGAGTCTACTATTCCATGATTTTTTGAGTAGATGATCCCCAGATAGTCGAAACCACCAATCAGTTTGCTGTGAGCCGGGTCTTGGCCATGATGGGGGCTTCAGGCTATGGTCCAGCAAGTAAAAGCACTTCTAATCGCATGAAAACATTAGTCTATCACTATATGTTGGTCGGCCCAAACCCAAAGTTGGTAGGATATTTTGGCTTGGTACAATGACTTATTGCTTTGCTAGACGATGGAATGATATTATGATTTCACAGCAAAATGTTCACTTCCTGGCGGTTGGCACCTAAGATTGGCAATGTTAATGAATTCACCCCATACGTATCTGCTTTAATCTGTTTTATTAAATTACAACCTCACTCGCTGACATCACCATGATGGTCTATGTTCTTTTTTACCCTCAAAGTCGTCAGCCCCTTAGGATTCAGCCAGATCCCCAGGACTGATATCACATCATATCCCACTACTACCCCCTAAAAGCCAGATGTATATCTTCCAGAATCGGATGATGGAGGCTCAAAAAGCTGCAAAAGACAGTGGTTTTCCGCCTGGAACTGGCAATGTTTACCCCAGGGTAAATCCCTGTGAAATCCTTACTCGAACCCCCCAAGACCCATGGCGGAGGTGTTTGGCCTGTGAGGAAGGCCTGCGCAAATGGCGGAGCGAGGAGCGAACGGTTGGCCGTTCGCCGCGTTCGGGAGTTGTTAGTTTTGCAACAAAAATGGTGATTTAACCAGCAACAATGAGGATTATAATTGGTGACTATTATTGAGACAATCATGATATTTTAGCTAATCTAGATAAAGTGTAGTTTGGTGACCAGTGGAACTAGGCCAACCGGAAGTGGTTGGGGGATGTAAGGGGTTAACAACTAATCCGTGTGTCGCTGAGGTATATCGAAGGAGGTCTCACCTCCTGTTTCAACTAACCGAGAATCTTAATTCGCTAGGTGACCCCTGGTCTAAATGGGAGTTAACTAACCTTGTAACCCTGAAAGATGTGTGTTCCTCTGGTCCAGTAAAAGTGAGGATAATAAAGACTAGTCAGTATTTAAGCTGGGTCACTCATAAGGTTTCAATGGATCTGACCTGTATAAAACGATCTATATATGAGGTTCTAGTTAAGCAAACTGGGAAGAACCTGGTTGTGCTTGGTGAATTGGCGACATAACCCACCTTTTTTTTGGGGACTTCATCGGCAAGGCCCTAGGCATTCTACAGAAAGCGTTGTTTTTTGGGTCGCTCCTATCTTGCAAAGTGGGGCTTCCAACCGCAAAAACATGGTTTTGGTGACTGAGTATTTAACCATTTTATCCAGCCAGAACGGGGAATTCAAGGTCAGATTCACTTATTTGAGAAAGGGTTTAAAGTTTAAATGGGGATAGAGCCAAAGCCAGTATGATTTCAGGGCAAACCGGTGAATGGATATGAATGGATTATATATCAAAGCCAGAAACAGAGGATTTCGCAAGCAGAAATGTGTTGTTTTTCCACATAGAATATGGGTCTTCCCTTGGTGCATTTTTGCTCTCCACCAATCAGTGGGGAGAGTGACAGAATCCGCGGGATTTTACCAAGGTGAAATACCCCAGCGAAGACGGGATACACTCCGTGGTGAATGGTTATTGAACAGCTTCATATCCCATGAATTCATCACAGTAACAGGCTCATAGGTCGAAATATACTCTTACATACCATATGAACATTTAATTTAAGTTTGGGCCAAATACGAAGGGCTATCGATTAATTTAAGTTTGAGCCAAAAACAAAGGGCTATCTTTATAGGCAATTGAGGTATCATTAATATGGGTGTGTCTGAAAATATGGTACCCCGAATACCGCAATTGATGATCATTTTATTGCCTTGCGAAAGTTGCCAGTTTGGAGTATCCAGCATTTTCAGATAAACCCAGACTAAAGATTATCTTTGTTGAGGCTATCTATTGTTGGCCATGTGCAAAAAATGTGCCCGTCCCCAGAACATGGTCCCGACGAAAAGCCAGATGAGAAACCAACAAAGATGGAGGACATATCTATATCTATATCCTAAACCCTATATCTATATCTATATCTCTATATCTATATCTATATCTAGTTGGTGGTTTCAAACATGTTTTATTTTTGGATATATTGGGAATAATCATCCCAACTGACTAATATTTTTCAGGGGGTTGAAACCACCAATTATATATATATATATATCTATCTATATATCTATATCTATATCTATATATATATATATACATAGTACATACCCTCTGGTAATCTGACATAGATATGGAAAAGCCGCTCTAAGCATTTCCGAATCGGAAGCCCACGGATTTCCATGGCGGCCCAGCAAGATTGGTGGTTTCGTCTCTTTTTTTGCGAGGGATAATAAGCTCCAGCCATGAAATGATGGTTTCAGCCGGAAATGTGGGCCTGATCAACAACAGTGTCTAAGACTGAATTTCTCAATGGATTGGTTTAAGGGAAAATCTACAGTCTACAGGAAACCATAGATTTTCCCATTAAATATGGGACTTTCCTGTAAATTTTCCCTTAAACCAATCCATTGAATTTCCTGCTGAACGGGGATTGATTGGTACGGAGTATCACCAGAATTGAGGACCCGCGTCAAGGTGCATTGTTTCCTAGTCTTGAGATGCTTGACCCAAAACTCAACAGATGGCAACTTGCTACATGCTTGACTCATACACCAGCAAACCACAGATAGTGTTAGTTCGTTCTTGTGCAAAGTGTTCCAAATTTATCTAATGCACACATGATATACTCAGGTAACTGTGCATTTAAGAAAAATGATCTGAAGATCCTATGTTAACAGATGACTGTCAGCAGACGTGCCAGGGATACTATATTCAGAACTGAACAACTCTGTATGGTGGTTTCTTTTGGGGTATTCCCATGTATTCCCCAAATCATCCAAATGTTATTGAAACTTGGTTTCGGGTTTCCCGATTTGAAAAAAAAAGTATCATCCATGACAACCGCCCCTATGCAGCCAGGATTAGCTTCTGCTCCCTGTGTGGGTGTGGAAGGGTGAGCTGATGTGCCCACGCGGGGGACATTGTCCCACAGAGTGGTAGTGACTCAAGGGGACCCACGGAAGAAAAGACGTGTTCTAAAATACGAGTGGCAGCCATTATCAGCTTAACCATGTGGGAATCCAATATGAAAACGGATGAAAACGGAATATCTACCATTTGCAGACAAGTTTGCTTCTGGTAATAGCGATTTCTGATGGCCAGGTTTTATTGGTTGGCCTTTTTCAATATGTCTAGTTGGTTGTTGGTTCATGTTGGTTCATTGGATCTTCACACATCAGTTCCCAGTGTTGCAAACTCGTCCCATGAGATCGTGGAGCACCGAAATGAGTCACCTTACGTAGAAAGAAGACCTGGTCGTGCCGTCGGCAGGGGAATGGTGACAACAATGGTGATCTAAGGTTGCGCGAGAGTTTTCAGCAAAAATGAGGGAATTTATATCCCCGAAACTGGGACAATCTTTGATGTTTGAACAGCCAAATTGTGGATGGGGGAAGAATTGGATCCCACGTTAGAAACAACTACTTAACTACTGTAGCTACTGACACTGCCATGGGATGCTTCATCCTTCATGAGTTCCAGCGTCAGGGCTGATCCAAATAGAGAAAAATTTTGTTTCACCAGTCGTGGCTTTGTACAGAACCATACGTAACCCCAAATGTGATGGTTGATGACTATTTTCACCATGAAATGGCCCAACTTCGAATTTGGGGCATACCCTCTTTTCAAACAAACCCAATATCAAATGATGTTAGGATGGTCATCATTCCAAATCAACCGGATGTGAGGAATTTGGATCCAAACCTGGATTTCTGGATGATTTCTGGATGATTTCTTCAAATGACAAGTTAAGATGAATAAAGTCGATTCCACGCAATGAAACGAGTGGACAACCCATTTTTTTTCCGGATGATTGTTGGATCTCCAACTTACTTGACGATGAATTATATAAAAGTTGAAAACCTAATGTTTGGATGATTCTTGGATTTCCAAGCTACAATTTGGATGGAGATCAACCATCTCCTGCTACTGCCACCATTAGCTTCCCAGTAGTTCCGTGGACCCGCGGAGCGCCTTTCACGGCACGGAGTAAATAACGTTGCCTCACTGGCCCTCGCCATAAATCTAGGTAGGTGAAGTATAACTAGAAAGTGGTTATGAGATGTTATGAGTTGGTAAAGTTATGATGGTTATAGTTATGATGGGTTTATGAAGTTGATTTACAAAGCCATCATAGCTGTATTCATAACTCATAACCCATCTAAGTATAGTTAAGTCTTACATACAACCCAGCCTAGTTGTAAACCAACTTACCTATGCGACCTATGCGACGACATGATGGTGGAGGGCACCATCCATGACCGAACTTTTCAGCCTGGTGAATTGTTATATTTTTGCCATATGGGATGTGTCTGAAAATGGGGCATACCCAGTATACCCTATCAAAACAGTTGTTTAAATAGGGATAATGATGATTCACCAATGGCTTAAGGGATATCCTATTTTCAAACAAACCCTAATATATATAATATCATACAATTATATATGAAATTATAAAAATATTTAATATACATGACGGTTGGTAAAAGGGGAATGATCCGAACATATCCTTGGAATTATCAGGATTATCCGAGATTAGCTTCCTTTTGGGAAGTCGGAATAGCTCTGGAGAGATCTCGTGGTATAAAGCTGTTTGTCCATGACTTTTCTGTGCTACTCTTGGTTTGAATGGAAATTCCCAAATGACTGGCGTGGCGAACCTTTCTATAGAGGTTATCGTACGATGAGGTTGTCGGGGCGGTGTTGACAACTTGGTACTCCTGACAGAGTGCTTAGCGTGCTTAGTTAGAAAGGTGTGGAAAAGACTACTTGAGTGAAGCCGGACTCTGTGGGAATAGTGCATAGTCTACTGTAGTTCCAAATTACAAACCTGAAATGAGATTTTGGATACAAGAAATGGATGGAAAATGTGGAAATGGGAGCTTGTAGATACCCTTGATACCCATTCATAATGCCTGTTTTGGACGAGTAGTTGTTGGTTTCAGTTTCAAGTATGGTTCATCTTCATCCAAATGGGCGTGACGTTGTGATCCCCATGACGTTCCTGTTTTTTCACAGCAAACCGCCAACCAGATTATCCGATGCCATTAACATGTGTGCCACATCCATATTATTTTTTGTTTATATGTGTTTATGATGATCAGCATAGGGAATCCACTTGTGCTCACGCGGCTTCATCAGTCATCAGTCTGTTTTAATATGTTGTTTTGTTTCCGAAAAAATGAAATCTTATTATTCAATCGATATCAGATGTGATTATGTACACCCGAAGCCAACATGATCCTCATCTATTTTGGTACATAAACCATCATAAACCTCTGTGTTTCTTTTCAGCTATTGGAGAATCCCCAACTATCCCCAACTATTGTTTTTTTTTTTTCGGGGTATCTAAGATTAGCCGTGATTAGCCCGGGTTTTTCACCCATTGTTGGTGGTTGATGTGAAACCCAGGGAACCAACATGTTGACCCACAGCCGCAGGATGCTTGAGCGGGCCAAAATTCGGCCGCTTGTGGTAGGAGTGATATGCCGGCAAGTTTGCGGGGGAAAGTTTGGTATTTGTGCACTACATATGGGTGATTGTATGTCATGAATATGATATATAAGTAACCGAAAATTTGTCTTGCAAATTTAGTTTTGCTTCGCCTTAGCCTTGTTGCCAGGTCTACAAAACCTTTGCTACCGATAGGAGACGACCTCATACCGATACCCTGACATCAAAGTCTATGATAGTTGATAAATGTGCACCCCAAGCATCCCCAAACTACAGATACCCTACTGATACCCAAGCGATAGCCGAAAATCACCATTGTGTTCTAGGGACAAGGTGTCTGCAATTTGGTCTCATTCATTCAGTCAGTCATTCAGGCAGTCAGTCAGTCAATCAGTCAATCAGTCAGTCAGACAATCAATCAATCAGTCAATCAATCAGTCGCTCAACCATGCAGCGGTGAGTTCAATAAAATACCTGTGGACTCTCCCATAGGGTGCCAACTCCTATTGCTGCAGAGTGGTTTCCTTTCAAAATTTGTTTGTGTTCCATGACTATGTTAGATTACCACAGGGTAATTTGATTTCACCTACCAAAAGCCTTGAACACGGTATAAGCTGTGCGAAAAGCAATCAAGAAAGGATTGGGGGCTGTTCTGGCAACGTTCGACCATCAGATGTTCATGCACTACTCTTGCAGAGCTTGTTTTGTAGCTTTGGTTTTAGTTTGTCTTGTTTGGAAAAACTCTTTCAGTGCTGTCAACCAAGCATTTGGTGTGGATACTTGATGTTGATAATTTATGTACTGCTGAACTGCTGGAATATCTGGGGCCGCTTCTGATTGTTGTGTCAGAGAACTCTTGGTCGACTTCAGCGATGGAGTTGCCCAGTGTAAGATTGCATCATATTGCATTGTTGCTGGCAAGTCGCATTCAATTCCATAGAAGGTTTATCCTAGCCCTGTTGGGGTCCCTAGTGTTCCCGGAATTCAAGCTCAAGCTCTACAGATTGCATGGCTCATTCGTTCCAGGAACTGTTGGACCCTTCCCAAGCCAGGGAGTTGTACCTTACTATTGCCTTACTATATTGATTACAAACCCAGAAGTGGAACACGGCCCGAGAACAGAGGATTTTCTGATCAAAAAGACAGATGTCACGTGGCCAGGTTTGTTTTCTGGGGGGACTACTATGACCTAACACAATCACATATCCTCAGTATCCTCTTGCATTTGAAACATGCTCAACTTAGAGCCAGAAAAGGAGCTTCAGACCCCAACAGTACCAGAGGATTGACCCTTGGTTTCCGACAGATTGGGTTGCCTCAGCAGAAAAGCTGCTGTCGCAGGCCCTTCACCGCGATGGACAAAATATAATTCATCTGGGACAGTTAGATATATGTTCTGGTTGGTGGTTTGGAACATGGCTTTTATTTTCCATATATGGGATGTCATCCGAAACCCATTGACGAACTCCATCATTTTTCAAGATGGTTATTGCACCACCAAACAGATATATGTTTATCGAAATCAGATATGACATTGACAATGAGGCCATGTTGATCGTTAAATCCCCAACACAATCATCCCAATGGATCAAATTGGTTCATAGTAGACAGCCCCATTACCCTCTGGTAAACTAACGTAACTATGGAAAATCACAATTGTTAATGGGTAAATCCACTATAAATTGCAATTTTCAATAGCTATGATAGTTTACCAGAGGATAACTGTGGATACATCATGATACATCTACCATGATCCCTGGTCGAATTGCAAAGCGACTCAGCTAACGACCTGGGGCACCACCTTGTGCTTACAGTGACTGGAATGATGCTGGTGCAGCCCCAAGCTACTTCGATGAGAGATATGGAGGAACCTTCAATCATCTTCAATCCATCCACTGACCACAAAAACAGCCCCAAGCGAAACCCTGTGGCTCTTGATCTGCTCATCAATTTGGGTCCCATTTCTTATATAAAATGATATCCATGATCTGCTATATCTCAGTTTCAAACCATGGACCATGTCATACCATGTCACAGGTTTGCAGATCATCCTCCAAGGGCAATGGAATTGGTCATTTTCAGAGCCATTGGCTCGCCAACGGCTCCATCAAAGTTGAACGGCTTCCACAGGGCCAGAAGGCGGGTTTGTCTGAAAATATGCTATACATATGGTATGCATACATAACTTAGTGAGTTCTATGGTTTATGGGGGATATAGCTATAGTTCATGGGGTTTCAGGGGACTCTGGTAATCAAACGTGGCTAGCCGGCTAGCCATGGAGGTTTAATTCGCTGGGAACATCAACGAACTGTTGCTGGTGGATTTTCCCAGCACGCCACGTTTCATTACCAGATCGTAGCCATATCATTGCACCCATTTTTGCGTGTCAGATTCACTAGCTCGATTTCTGAAA